ATTACCAAAAATAGAGAGGGCATAGCCTAACATATGAAACAGGAAAAGACCGCCATGTAATCCCTTTATTTCAACAAAGTAACTATTCTGAATACCACCTTTTTAAACGGTAACTGTAACGGAATGCTGTTACTCATATTTTGTATTTCAAATATGTAACGGCGGTACATGTATTCCGTTACTCCCCAACACTGTATGAGGGTGACCTTAGTTTTGATCTCACACATGCAAAGTTTTGTGAATATGTCCTTACATGATCAAGATGTTATAATTTTGTCAAAAATTGCTCACAAACCAGCAGTAAACACCAGCCAACATACTCAGAACTACCTTTGTGTTAGTTCCCACTACAGGAGACTTCGCCACAACCACATTATTTGAAGCACAAACAAGCTGATACACAGACACAAGGTTCTGGATGGTAATTAGCAGTCAACCTATGTAAAGTGCAACATCAGGTGGTAAACAGTCATTTCCTGGTTTGTGATGTGCTCTCTTATGAGACTGTTGGGATAAATCAAACAATTTAGAGCCCCTTGGGGAACTGTTTGGTACTCAGCACTGATATTTGTTAGCTTTTCTACACTGAGGAACTGGACTCTAACCAAGACTCCCTGTTTCTATTTTTCTCACTGCTACATTTTGAAGTTTGGGTGACTGGCAGGGCTGAGCATTCACACTTATAAAGGTTATAGGGAGCTTTTAAACTGCCAAGTTTATTTCTAAAAGAGCTGTCTGTCAAAATGACTGGCTTTACACAGATCAAAACACACAAGCTGAGACACAGTTACTCAAACACACACGTGCACACACATTTTTTGCTATTCAATGAGTGTGTCAGTTTGTTTTATGGTGTTTTTTTCCACAGTTCGTATGCCGAGTTGTTCATCTCACATCGAAAGCTATAGCACCAGTGCTAATTTAGTAATATCATATTGGCTGTGGATGAAGATAAAACTCAAATAAGCTGTATACCTCAGCTCAGAATATTTAAGTCTATAAACTTTTGGCAACTACTTATTAGTTGCTGGTAGTTTTGTGTCAGAGCTCAGAGGTAAATATTTTAGTTAAGCTGTTAAACATAAATGTTGATTCACGCTCCTGTTTACTTCATACATGTGTGCTGTGCCTAGAAAGCCTTGGATAAAGAGCTTCCCAGTTTATCTTAGGAAAGCAATGTGGATGCGTACTGTAAATTTACAATAAGCATAAAAGGCTTACATTTTGGAACACAAAACTTTTTGTTTGCTCTCAGACTGGCCTCACTTTATTGGTTAGCTGACAGTTTCCAGCCAGAAAATGCATACAACAAAATCCCTGTGTTAAACAGCTTTAAAGTTGTTTCTTACACAGATATTCCCTCGGAAAACTCAACAAAGACAAGGTGTGCAAATAGCGTTCACAATCAAACAGCTCGAAACCAGACCTACACTGACCAACATTATCCCGTTATCAAAAAGAACATACAACCTAGAATATCGTCCAAAACATCTGTCATGTTTGATTCTTGCATTCTCAAATTAAATACACACAGTAAAAATGCTTTATCATAAGAAATATTTGATGCCTAAAGAACATATATCCACATGTATCCAGTTAAATGGTTTACAGTTATACCAAATATTTAAAATAATCATAAAGAAAAGAAGCTTAACACACCAACTTATACAGGAAACCACACACACAATAAGCCAAATGAGAAATTGGTCCCTATTTTTTATTTTTTTCAGTTTAATTCTTATCCATAGATCAAATGGCTCTCTGACATCTGTTCCTTTGCACAATTGACACTCTGCTCGGGTATTTGCTTCTCATGGAAAACGGAAATCAAACCCAAAGGAATTGTGTTTTATTACAGATTTACTAGTGCCCAAACCACTACAGTTAATAGCATCAACAAGGCTACAGAATTTGTTATTATAATTAGGAAATTTTAAATAAATAACTCATTTTTCTATGTACAAAGTACAACACATGCTTTTCTTAGCGTTGTAACAATCATGGAACAAATGTATACAACAGGCTTCTGTGGTGAAATGAGAAATGTGCATCTTGACTGAATCCTTGGTACAACAGATTGATAGATAACGACCTATTCTGGTTTTGGATGGGGGGACAACACTGAATAGAGGATTTCGAAAACAAAGGTTCAGAATCAAGTATGAAATATGATATAGCTTTTTAGGCAGAAAAAAAAGCTATATTAGTTATTAGTAAGCTATATTAAATTATATTATATTAGTTTAGTTTTCTAGGCTCCCTTGTTCAAGAATTAAGTAAACTAGAACTGTTACACAAACATAATACAACTTCCATGACTTTGGTTAACAAGTTTGGGTGGCTATCGTTAAAGGCATAACTGTAAAGTCAACACAGTTTCACAGTCCCAAAATATATACTGATGTACAAATATATCCACATTAAGATAGCAATCCACACCACATAAACATGATATGGTGATATGAGCCAAAGCTGAGGCGTAACTCCAAGATGCGTGGGTGTATTTATCTACACACCTCCATGGATTTTATTCAGGGACCCACTCAAGGTTACAGGCAGGTGACACAGGGAGATATGGTTCTTCAGTAGCTGATAACAATCAAAGTGTGAAGCAGAAGCAAAGCACTTTATGCTGCGTTTCATTTCTTCAAGGGCTTCAAAGCATGAGCTTATTCACAAGCGCTGCTAAACACACGATATTATATCCAAAGCCTCCTTCAGTGTTCCATTTCCAACACTTAATTGTGCAGTACGGTAGACTATGAGCAGCTGCTTGATGACTTGTGGAACACTATGTCTCTCTGTCTGCCTGATATCATCAATTTATTATTATAATACATCTTGTTTGGTATTGTTATATATTATTTTGACACACATCATCACCTTTTTGCCCTGTATGCAGTGGAGGGTGCCTGTTTGAGGAACCCATTCAATGAACTTTGCACATCACCCTGTACCTGTAAATTTACATAAAGTTAGTCTAAAATCAAAGCTAAAATCTTTTCAGGCTACGTGTCTTTGCCGACCCTCTCTTCAGCTCTGTGAAGCCACATCTCTAATAGTTTTGCAGTTCAGGAATGTTTTTGTAGAGGTCCAGTGAGTCAGGATTGGAGAATGCTCCTCTTTGTGTCACCTCCCGACCAGCAATCACTTGTTTTACAGCTACCTCCACCTTCTTGCCGCTGATGGTATACTGTAGAGGAATAAAATAAAGGCTGTCATTCAAGAAAAATGATTTTTCTATTTGCAGCCTGACAGAATAATATAAAGTTTTTTCATAACTAACTGATAGATTTTTTTTTTCCTTACAGGAATGTCTCTGGTCTCCAGCAGCAGGGCGGGTACGTGTCGAGCAGACAGAGCTTTTCTAATGGCTCCTTTAATCTTCGTCACCAACTCTGGACTGAAGGGCTTACCAGGTGCCATCTTTAAGAACAAAATAACTCTCTCTTCTCCGTCAGCGTTGTACTGTGGAACACAAAGACTGTCTGACACTTCCTCAAACGCCTCCACTGCAGAGAGGAGAGCAAAGGAGAGGGCAGAGGGCAAAAAGGCAAACCAAAAAAGATAAGACACAGAGAGAAAAAGATGTGAGAGGTGAAAAGAAAAAGAGAGTAAAGATTAAAAGAACAGAAAAGACAAAAAGTGTCCAAACTAAGCAGCGTGAGTACATACGGAGAATGGCAAGTGAGTAAACTTTAAAAAGTGGACAATGGGATGGCAAAGTCTTATTTTTCCAGGAACATAAAAAGAACCATGACTCAGAACCATTTTCTTTTATTATCTTACACCCACACCCTACTCCATCTGCAGATAAAGACTCACCAATGTTGTAAATCTCTGAGCTGCCGAATCGGACTCCGTTGGGGTTCAGCGTGCCGTCACTACAGAAAAAACAGACTTTCTAAATTCAGAGCTGGCGTTCCTGTAATTGCGAGCCATTTTGCCACAAATTTCCACAGAAAAAAAAATGACTCTACAGCCTAGAGTTGTGACAAAATATCACGCAAAAGGGTATGAAGTACATTTAAGCCTGTCCTGATGAATCAATAAAACGTATTGATTGCAGTTAATGGCTGACCTTCTGCCCAGCATGACAATGCCCCCTGTCTTTGGATTGATTTTACAGTAGTCTCCGTGGGCCCACACCCCTACAGAATGAGAAAAGGAAAAATTTGTCTGAAACTTTGATTTTTTTTTGTGCATACCTGAAGAACACATACTAAAAACAAACATTAAAAAATGAAGGAGCAATAAATGCTAATAAAAGCAGTTACATAATGTAAGCACAGATAAATTTAAACTGGGTGATATTCCTTAAAGGGTAGCTGTACAGCAGGGGTATTACAGGTGTCTCTTTATGTACATGTAAACTGTAAATATGTTTCTATTTTTACACAACATTTGTGTGGTTACCGGGATATGTAGAAAAGTATGCTTTATGATATTTGCTCTGATTCTCGTCATTCCAGAAGTGTGTTGGCTGGCAGGGGATTGGCTTCAAGCAGACAAGCTCCCCACTCTCTCCCCACACAGGCTCACCTGTTAAAACACATATTTCACAGGAACAAAAAGTTGCGGTGTGTGTTTCCCTGCAACCCATATAAACCTGGGCACACATCCATATGCACAAACACATACGCGCATAAGAGACACAGTATAAATCCTTCTCTGATAAAAACAAAAAGAATGTGTGTCGCTCTCAGAGAACCTGATACCTTTAGTGTGTGGTTTCACACAACCCTAACAGCCTCCCTCAGGACGGTGTTATAGGCTTAAAGACTGACTAAAATAATCCCAAACTCTTTCTACAAAACTGCCTTTAAATTATCCTTCAATCCACTCTCCTTTGAGGTGGTGGAGACATGCCAGTACAGCCTGCAGCAGGGAGCTGGGGAAAGAGGGACTGAAATCAATGACAGAAACCTAGAGGGCTTTGAAGACTTCCACCATGATAAAAAAAAAAAAAGAACACCCTTTTTATTTGAAATTAATAATTTAAAAAAATGTGTTTCGCTAAAGTTGGTCAGTATATTGTTCCAGGGAAAGTTCACACATTCCTTCAGTTACTTTTTGGCCTGGCATATATATATACATATAAGCTCCACCATCAGTGACATGTAAAATAAAGGGAGCATTTCTAATTTCCTTGGTAACAATTTTTAAATGTTCTTGTGATTAATTTTCCATATATATATATATATATATTAATACAGCCTGAAAGTTATTTAAAAGTTATTTAAAAGCTGAGCACAATCCCTTGACTCTGTTGCTCTATTGTCCCCATACAGTAAATCTCTTAATTGCTATTGAGGTTGAATGAAACAGAAAGTGGTAGGAGGGATTATTAAATTCTGAAGAGATTCACCCAGAGTCTTACCGTCAGGGCTCCAGGCTTCCACAGCCATGCCGAGATTTCTTGATTGAATCTCACCTCGATACACTGGAACTGTTGGGTTCTGGCCCATGAAACACGACACTATGTCAGTGCCACCTGGGAAAAGAGTTGAGAGAAACCGGGAAGTTTTCCATTATATTTCTGCAACAGACATATAATTTTTCTAAGAAGTTGAAATTGACCAGCTTGTGTCTTAAGATTTTGTCATTAACGCTGTTGGAGGAACCTTGACCTACTAATAAGACAGAGCAATGGGAAGTCTGTTAACTCTGTAGCGTCTTAATAAATTCATTGCTTTGGTTTTCATTGTACCCTGAATAAAGTCAGTGAACCCTATAACAGTTATAGCAAGGTTTTCCCATTATAACAGAGTACCATCTGTGTTTCAAAGAGGTGTTCTTTTCTTTAAAAGCAATTCTTGTTTGTTTGTTTTTCTTATTCCTCAGTGAACACGGAGCTGATGAGCGATTCTAATTGTGAGTTCTCCTACAAGCACTGTTGCTCATCTACATGTATTTTAGCAAACTTTATGCTGGCTTTTTTATTTCTGTTTTAAAAGTGGAATCTCCTCAGCTCTTGCTACAAAGAACCTGGGCCAAACATTACTATTGCCCCTGACCTCTGGATCTTAAACTTGATAAATAATAGTAAGAGCTGTGGTAACAGGAACAGGAAGTTGCTTTGGTGATTCTTCTAGTCTTAACTTCAATGACAATCGTTAGTTTCCATATTTCCATATTCCACTTATTTATCACCATTTCTGAGGGGTACCAATAATTTTCTCTACAAATTTTAATTTCAAAAACTTTTCAGGAAGGCGTAGACCATTCTTTAATCCTTTAGAGTCATTGGATGTGCCAGTTTAAGATGACCTAGCAGCAAGACGCAGTCTCCCTTTTAAATTATATTGAAAGTGCAGACAAAAATAGATTGAAGCCAACAAAATTGGGTATGCTTCTGTTTTAGACACATTTTACTGTAAATAGTCAGAAGTCTCTTAGATATTTTATGATGTGATAAAGATAATGAATCACATTTAGTGTGGTAGTGTGGTAGGACTAGGGTTAGGGTTAGCACATATGATGACTTAGACCTCAAATGGTGAAACTGGTTCGAGGGAGGCAATTTGTACGTTTTTACCTTATTTCATTTAGTTTGGAATACTTGGAATGTACAGAGCCACACCCATATCACGTAACTACGTAAAATATCAGCAAACACTGACCAAGAGACATTGTTACACTTAATACCAGTGTCTTATATTTTTTTGTTCCACACACAGGCAGCATTAGCTCGCTGCTCCACCTTCATTGACCTATATAGGAGTTCCTTCCCTTTGCAGCACTTTCCTAAAACTGTCATGAAGACGCACACATCTATTCATCTCTTTCTACCTTCCAATCATATACCATTTCTGACACGTTCTATTCATCTCCCTTCTTATTGTTTGTTCTCTACCTCCCTATTTCGTTCCACTCTGCGTGACAGATACCATCCATCCATCTTGTTTGCTTTCTCTCAGTTGCTCTATGCCCTTCTACTGCTCCTTCCTCCTTTCTCGCATTTCTTTGTTCTTTACACTCGTTTTCTCCATCTCTCTTTCCGGCAGGTTCTTTATTGAGCTCTAATTGGCTCCCAGGAGGAAGTAGAAACTTTGTCTTCTGATTAAACACACACACTTATAGTGGGACGATATGCAATTAGATTAATATTACATTTACCTTAATAGGTGAGTACAAACACACAAAAATACATACATACACACACAAACAGAAGCACATTTAAGCCAAAAGTCAATGTGGTTTTCTTGGGATGCCTTCCATCATCTGACATGTAGTGTGCATGTGTGAGTAAGGTGTATATACACAAGAGTGCAACGTGTCACACTGATCTGATGCTCCTAACAGCAGTGACTATTTTGAAGTGAAGAAAAAGGTTTTTTGAACTCCCCAGTTAGTTTTCATAGATTTTTTGCACATGTGAGTGTGTGCACACACATCTTCTTTCATTTGTGGAGGTGTTACTGCTTTGAAAAACTACCGGCACAGTTTGAGGTCAAACAAAGCCACCGACTGAGACAAACCAAGCAACCTACACAGCTAACCTACGCACGAATTCATATATCCAAAAATGAACTGAATTGAAACCAAAAACTAAAGGAAAATTGAAAAGATGACTTGGTAAATACTTCAAAATTAACAAACAGACACACAGAAGAGAAGAGAAGAGAAGAGAAGAGAAGAGAAGAGAAGAGAAGAGAAGAGAAGAGGCAAAATGGGTGTGGAGAGCTGACATATGGAGAGTCAGATGGAGGTATATTAGGATTGAGTAAATCCAGCAGTGAAAGTGTTAAAATCACCCACTGAAGAGCAACAGGGGTTTGAGGTCCCTGCTGAACAGAAAACACACAAACACTCTCCTGATATACACGACAATCTCCATTAAAAGTTTTCACAACCCCAAGTAGACTTTAACTGAAGCACATGTTTATACACACACAGTGACACGGGGTAAAATCAGCAAGGGACCCACATATATGAGCATTCAGAACACACACACACACAGCATTGACCTCATGGGTCAAGGTTAGGTCGGTTGGCAGCCAAAAGGGTTGCAGCCCTCTGTTGCCCTTGGCAGCAAGATGGAAAGTGACTGGGGCAGGACCTGCTGTTTCGAGTCACACATACATTCACAAAGAGCCAGCGCTATAATTCCAAAAGGACGAGTCCAGATGAATATCAAATTGGGTCTTCTTCACAATTCACCACTTTAGCTATCATTTTGTTCAAATATTATAACACTATACTGTCAGAGGAACAGGACAGGAACAGGTTGAGCTCTTTGGAGACAAAGTCAGAGAGGCAAAGCTGAGATGGTTTGCACATTCTAAATAAAACATGTTTGATGGCCAAGCAGCAAGGTATACAGGCATCTGAAATCTTCTACTTTTTTCCTCATACTTCTGCTGCTGGAGTATGGCAGTCCCAAAACCTTATGGTAAAATATAATGTAATTTGGCACAATGGCTGAACTGATGCACCTCAACGGCACTGTTGGGCATAAACTCATTTTTCTAATACCAAAAGCTACAACAGTTACAGAACCTACTGTTTCCATAAGCCATTTGACTCATTAAAAAAACCTTTACAAAGTAACTATAAAGGATCTTTAAAGTGGAGGAAGAAAACAGTTTTATCTGTTCAGCTAACATGGTTTCTCAGTGCCTCTGTTAAGTGATACCATTTAATACTGAACTTGTTTTATTGACTTACTAACGCAATTAAAAGGGGGATGAACACAGCTTTGTATTTACATGGAGCTAATAAGCAAAAACTTATTTTTCCTTGATTCGTTCTATGTGTTTGTCTCATAAAAGTTGTTGATGTGTGTCACAAAATCGTATGAGTTGTTGAGTAACAATCTATAACGCAAACAAACGAAAATGTGTAATTGCCATAACCAACTATTTTTGAAGTTTTCAGCAGATTCTTAAGCCTACAGCAAATTTTGCACAGACCACCTTCCTCACTAAACAGATTTCTTTCTTCACTTATCTTACAGACTCTGCAGAGACACAGATATTTACGACAAAAATAACCTAAGAAAATCTGCTTGCAGATTTCTTCTGTTTATTTTCCATCTCTCACCAGATTTCTGCCTGTGATTGACATTTCAGCTGACGCTTGTGTCCAGCATTTCGACTTACATGTCATTGTGAGCATGTGCAACTTTGCATATGTTTGCTTGTGTATTTGAGGCTATATGCTGTACCCATTTGGGCTGTCATTCACAATGGCTGCGTGTATGTGTATGCAAGCGTGACATTCCAAGCTGCTTCTCAGTGTGCGTATGTGTGTGTGCTTGTGTGTGTGTTTAATACGTCAGTCACCCAAGCTCTGCTAAATGTTAAACGTTTCAGGACTCACAGAAAGAGACAGATAGCATTCTACTGGCCTGACAACATCACAATGGGCTGAGAAGCACTGTGTGCGTTAGACCCATGCGTGTGTGTGCATGTGCGACAGTTGTGGGTGGTGAGGAATATGTAGCCTTCTATACAATTTATTGTTTTATTATTATGCATCAGTCCTTTTGTGCTTGTGTCACAGATGCTTTTCTGTTATAGCTTTAAAATTTCAAAATACAAATACAGTATATATTTTAAATGTTTTAAAATACATTTTTTTTTAAGTTTTCCAAGGTTTCTGTCATAAAGACATTGGGAACCAAACAATTTGTTGCTCAGACATCACATTATGCACCAGAATCATCTTGGATATAAATATCTTGATTTGTCAATATATATAAAATATAACATTAGGTTAAATATAAGTAATCTTACATTTACATAATCCTTTTTTTCTTTCATTTTTGTCAGGGATGTTCCTTACAACTAACTTATTAGTTGTTTAAACACGAGAGAAAAAAATCAAAGTGGTCAACTAGTCTAAATTAAAGAAAACACTCAGAACACATCTAAAATAAACACAATCTAATGGACAAGGCAGGACATTGCATTTGTATTTGGGATCAACAGGCTTGCTAGTTTTGCTAGTGCATGTGTATGTGTGTGTTCTAATGTGCTCTTCTTCAGTTTTGTGAAAAGCACTTTAGGGGGAATTTCAAAAGGTCAGAAAAGCTCATGTTTCAACAACAATGAAGTATTGTACAGTTATGATAAATGTTAAACTGGCCAGTTCACACGTTAATGTTAGCTGTTAGCTGTTAGCAATTACCCGTTTACCAAAAACCTCGCCTTAGGGTGTCACAAGCTAGTGCCAGTGTTGGTCCCAAGCCCAGGTAATTGGGAGGGTTGTGCCTGGAAGAGCATCTGGCATAAGATTTTTGCCAAATCAAATATGTGGATCCAGCTGCTGTGGAAACCACTGGAGAAAAACACAGAGCAGCTGAAGTTACCTTTATCCAATAGCCACCTTAGTCATCTGTTATCATTAAGGTAGTGGTTAGCAGCTATGGCTAATATTAAAATGATAACATTAATGTGAGAGCCAGGCAACAAACACCATCAGTCTTGTCTGCAGAGTTGTAATGGATGGTGTTAATTTTACAGAATAAAACAATTACATAAGTCTAAAAAATGCCAAGTTTCTCTGAAAGTACCAGACTGAAACTGAGGAAAGTCTAGACACAAGATAACAGCCTACCTGACTAACTCTATTTGATTGGTAATTAAAATGTGGATCAAATTAAAAATAAACAGAACTTGGTTTCATTTGTTAATGAACAAAACAGACAACAGATCTTTAGCAATAACTGGAGAAAAAAAAAACAACAGCTGGCACAATTAATCTTTACTTATTGTGCAGGCATTTCATGCATTATGTTCCTAGTTAAGCAGCTATTAATTTGAAGCGCCACAGATTGTCTGTCAAACTTTTATAAAGAATATATTATAGACAATAGTTTTTTTGTCAAACCACAATCTGATTAGCAGAAAATGCACTAATATGCACCAGTTGAATATTTCATTCATTAAAAATGTATACTATAAATTGTTCTTATTGAGTAAAAGCTTGACATTTTTAAATTAATTAGAACTGTAATATTAATGTTCAAGAGAAATATTTATCTACAGTGCTTTTTAATGATTAAATGATTTTGTGTCATAATTCTAAAAAAACAATATGTTGTTCTTAAATTCTTAAGTATTAGAAAAATAATATGTGTCCTAGCAGGGTATGTGTTATTGAGTCACCTGAAATGGAGCCCAGCAGCACGGTGCTCTTTATGCAGCGGTAGACATAGTCGTAGATCTGAGGTTTGAGAGGAGATCCAGTAGACAGGATAGTGTGGAGGGACTGGAGATTGTGTGTTTCTGCTAGAGAAGGAAAACACAAAAGATAAAAATAAATAGCGAAAGAAGATGAACAATAAATTCCGTAGTTTAGTTATTAGTAATACATAACTGTGTTTGAAGTCACTTTTTGAATACAACCTAAAATGTTCCTAAAATGTTGAGTGTTAAAAAGTCAGTGAGTTCCGGAAGTACAATAAATTTGGATTGATTAACTGGTCAAAAATAATGTGGTCAAATTGGAAAATCTGAAAAGATTATTTGGGATACTCATTTGCTTAAAGATAGAGCAAATGAGCAAAAACATTGGTTTTTGATCAGACTCAATATGCAGTTGACCTTCTTGTACTGAGACAACAATAGTCACACTTTTATAGTGAGGCTGCACATATTTTAGAATTACTGGTCTGGGATCAGTTATCAGTGTGGTTCCCCCCCCCAAAAAAAGCCCAAACCTAACCAAGTTGGAGTCACCAATCATTTGAACCAAATTAGTAAACCAAACACATAAAATGGGTATTCACATTTGAACAGCTGTGGCTTGCCCAACTTGTTGTGTTATTGTAGTTTGCCACCCTGATGTGACAGAGCATGCAACGTACCGCACACATCGCTTTAGCCATCCTCAAGATCCATGTGCATGTTCTCTGTCACACACATATGCCCAAACCACAAGCCAATAACACTCTGGGAACTAATAAGGTTCCAGCAACTGGCCCTTGCTCTGCGCACACACACACAGTTGGACTTTTGCTACCCCCCACCATGCCTCCAGGTGTCCAGTCCAAATGTCATCCTAGGGAAAAGGGCCTCTCCGCTGGGGCAGCCAGTGAAGAAGCTCCCACTATCCTCCTCGGGCCAGTGGAGGCATGCATGTACACACGCACGCACACACACACACACACACACACACACACCAACATCTCCCTTTGCCACGCTCTCTTTCTCTAATAAGCATCCAAATGCACACACACAGTGCCAACTGGATCAAGTGGCTGGCTGACTAATAGGGGTGGGGCAGCGAGCGGTAACAAGAGAGCGAGACAAGCACAGAGACACAGCAATGTTTTATTTTTTTTATGCCTTTCTGTTTAGTTTTAGAATTAGGAATGGATTCAGCTCATTTAAAGTTAAAGAGAGACGCACAAACAATGGGCAACAAATGCAGATTTGTGGCGATTATCAGGATGCACTGTGCTACATGGTGACACTTGGTATATGCAAGTTTTTTCTGTTTGCACTTCTGACAGAAAAATTGTTAAGCCTGGTGACTGCAATTTAGCCATACACTACAAATGTTATTACTGCAATGTGTATGGATGACACACACAGAGCTCTTAACACACACAGCTGGTTTGGTACTTTACTTGGAATCCTATTTCAGTGTCCCACTATTTCCTGTACATTGTACTCCTGAGTGTAGATGGACAACAAAGTCAATTTAGACTAAACTCACATTAAAACCATTATATTTTGATTTGATGAAAATCATGTAATGTTTCTGATATGCCATATAGGCTTAATAAATCCTGGACTTCACTGTGATTTCTTCATGTTTGTTTTAATTTTTCCAGCTGGTAGCGGATGTTTAAACCCATCAATTTTCTTCCACAAATTAGGATAACAGTTGGGCTACAGCCTATCCCAGCTGCCATAGGACAAGAGGTTGGGTACACCCTGGACACAATGCCAATCTAAAGAGAGTTAACACAGAGAGACAAACAGCTATTTCTGCTCACATTCACACCTATGGCCAATAAGAATGTCTTCAGGCTGTGGAAGGAAGCTGGAGAGAGAACCCACGCAGACATGGGTGGAATACAGACAGCCTGTGGATTCGAACCCAGGACCTGTGAGGAAACAGTGCTAACCACTGTGTTACTTCAGAAGTAGCTAAAAATCGCCCCCCAAAAACACAAGTGACTGTAGTTTCGGTAGAGCAGTTCATCCACTTACTGAAAGGTTGGTGGTTCCCTGGCTGCTCCGGTCTGTATACCCAAGTATCTTTGCCCAAGATACGTAACCCCAAGTTAGGGGGTATACGGTAGAAACTATATGAATTTGGCCAGCAGTAGAGATTTTGACCATACCACTCTACTGCGATAGTGCATGTTGATGGTAACAAAGAGACGTAGCACATTTTGGAATATGGGGAAAGCCAAAAACTCCACTCCTCCACTTCCGTGCCATTGATTCATTAATGTTGAATTCTCTCGCAGCTGCTATATTCCCATGTTGTTGCAGTATAATGACTAACCTCGTATTGCGGATGGATTATCTCAGCTGTTCTCCTGACTGAAGTTTGGTCCGTTTACAGCATCCTGCCATATGACTGCATTTGTCCCTAACCATCAGGAACCCCCCCTTTAATTTTCATCGAGTGGAAAAAGGTTAGCGTTCATCCTCCAGCTTCACTGTTTATGTTATGCTAACATTACTGTGTCGCTAGCAATCACATAGAACATCATTAAATACCAAACTCCAGTAACCCTACAAACGCCACTGCTGTTTAGTTTTCTGTCTTCATTTATATTGGAAGTGATAGCAGAGCTGTACGTTTTAATTTTTTCAGAAGTCTCTCAGTCAGAACATGCTATATCATGTTTAGGTGGAAACTAGCGAGCCAACTTCCTGATACCTTCTAATTCTGTTAAATTTAATATATTCTGTTTTCATGGATGCCTGGATGTTAAACTTGTTATACCTGGTAAAGCAGCAACGCTGATCATTTTATTAAAGGTGAAAGAATTTAGACGGTTTTTAACTCTCAGTGATGCTGCAGTGTTCATTTGACTTTGGGACCTGAAGGGGACGGAGTTTTGGACCCAGATTACTCTGCGAGGCTCCTGACTACGGTAGCC